ATATGCTTCCCTATGAATAATTTAAATAGCTTAAAATTCGTTACTTAATTTGCTCACACATACTTATAAAAAATTAGAAAAATTAATGAACAAGAATTTCACATTTTCGCAAAACAGCACAGTCAATTTGCAGAAATTTTAAGCAAACTTGAAATGAAAAGTACAGAATTCGTAGCATAGTAAATAATTTTGTTCCCGAGTTAGATAGATTCACACGAATGTGACAATTTTTGAGCTGTTGAAAAAGCGGAAACGCAAATAATTTTCTGTCGCACATACTTGCAGAGCTCAAACTCGGATTAGTGAACTTAACACACAGTAATGCTGAATCTCCTAAAACGGTAATTCACTGATGATTTAGAGCACTTTTTTTCCCCCTGAATACTGTAGAGATGGCCGAAGCAAATTCAATATTCCTTTTCACTAGACATTCAAACTTATGGATTTATCACGTGATTATTTTTTGAAACACTTGCAAAACACCACAACAGAAGGATGATTAGGTTATTTTTTAAACACTGAAAAAATAAATTTGACGATTCACTTCTTTCACATTGCCTTTGGATTTGTCACAAAGCGATGATTGGAAGAGATGAATAAACTTTCCATTGAGGTCTCAGGCTGCAGGAAACTATCCTGTCAGGATTGACATAATAAAAGCATAGAAAAAGACGGAGCACTGTTGATGCGTAGTTATGCTATATTGAAGAGGAAGCATTCCGATTGCGTCGTAAGCTAATGTGTTGACTTCGTAAATAAAATTTGGCAGTCGAGGCGATTTTAATTCCATTTTTATTTCCTATTGACATTATGTGGCCACAGATCACTTGGCACCCTAATCGTGCCTGTTCGTACCATTACATTATTGATATTATTGCAATAGGAAGCAGCGTAGCGAAATTGCGTCCAAGCACAGCACAGGCAGAAGCTGAAGCGAGGTAGTTATGCAAGATGGAAGAACGCGAAGTTAAGTTTTCGTTTACAAGTGGTAGTTTCAGTTCCCAATTATTACGTTATTAGAGCTGCGCAGGCCATAGAATAATCTAGAAATGACACAATCCAGAGAAGTTATTGCGATTTTTAGTATAGAGAGGGAGAATTAATGTTTTACCGTTAGTTTAAATTATAATTTTGATTGACATATTTTTATCTTACATATATATGTAATAAAACTGCTCCATTAGATGTAATAAAACTGCGTTATTACTAAAATAAGATGACTTGGTGAGAGCTGCAAAGGATTGGCGTCGGAGTGACTGCATCATAACTTGAAGACTTTGCTGCGTAGTTATGGATGCATAAACCAAAAAAACTTGCAGACATGGCCTAAATTCCACAAATAATTTTATTTCTGGATAATTATCACTGTGCATGCGCTATGCATCCGCCAATTTTGTACAGATTACATCTTGCTGAAGGACAAAAATTAGAAAAGTAAACACTGCGGCAAGGCGACACAATCGTCTGGAAGCAGAAGGGAAGACAGAAGAAAAGGGTTGCGACGCAGTTAAGCTTTTATTCCGAATTCTCATGTGTAACGTGTATACGAGCCAGTTTACCTTAGAAAGTCCTCCGCGAAGGCATCTCTCCCCTTAGTCAGATAGCCCTAGTGTGCTTTGCCATACTTCAATAAAACAAACCAAACCAAAACTACACACTAGATCACTAAAGCTAGACTACTAATAACTGATATATATTAATTAATGAAGGTTAATTTCGTTTTCACTAACGGCTTCCATGAGCTTTCCCTTTTCTCTGATCTCTCTCTGGGTCTCTCTCCTAGAAACTAAACTTTTGGCGCCCCTTAGATTGAGAGTTAGCGCCCTCTATGCATTTCGTTAGTTGACGTTACCCTTACAACACACTAATAGTAACGTATTCATTATTTACTTCTTAATATTATTCCTGAATACAAAGTGGAGTAGTTAAAATTTAATGTAAAACTGGTCGATGATATGAAAAATCACAGACGTAATTCAAAAGTTCAGCACTGATGTTTTTCGTAAAAGTAAGGTCTATATTTGAATTACCTAAAGAATTTTGGATACTTGGTTGGTGTTATGTTACGGTTGTTATGGTTGAAGAGCCGTTTCATAAAACTGAACGCTTTCTTATTTCTTTTTATATCATAATAATAGATGATATATCCTTGTCGACGCCCGCAACTTGTCGCACCGCTGTTCTAAAGACAAAAAGTTTTAGTTTTTATTGACCGATGTTACACTTTTATAAGCCACAATTTGTCACAAACAATGTAAATATGCCCAATTTCATTATCTTTAAAGTTTTGAGCAAAATATTGTCGACACAACTGATCAATCTTTTTCATTTGACAGACACCGTTAAAGAATCTCTCCACTACAGTCGAAAGGTCAAAAACTGGAAAACAGTTGCTAAAAGAAGAAGTCTGGAAAAGACTTCTGGAGAAAGCCAAGGACCAGCGTGGGCTGTCGAGCCAATGAAGAAGAAGAAGAATTTACTGCGTATTAATATAATTTCATCAAATAAAATTACTGGCACTGTGTTTTACGTAAATTTCTAGTAATATTAGTATTTCTTACATGATGGCTCAAAATTTGCTTAATAAGACTATAATTCCTACAAAATGATTGATATGAAGGAAATAAAACACAAAGACTTATATATTTATTAAGTTCCTTTTTTGTGTATCGTCTAATAATCTACAGAGAACAATGAATTTATTTTATAGTCTAAAAATAAATTTTAAAATTTCATTAAAGTGTATATTTAGGAGATAATATAATCAATTAATCAATATTGTTTAGGAAATAAATTATTATATATATATACATATGTGCGTGTGTGTGTATTTACTTTTTTTTTTTTTTTTACTTTGAGTACGAAATCAAAGAATTTAACTTCCAAAAAAATCTACAACCACAAGAGTTAAATTACTACAAACACACCTACAGATATATTGATGACCTTATTACAATTAATAATTTTGGCAAAATTGAACACTCCGAGATTTATCCGAATTGTCTTACACTTAATAAAACTAATAATTCACAAAATAGCATAGACTATCTAGATCTTCAAATCATTAACTACAAAAAAATTTTACTTTTTGACAAAACAAGAAACTTCAATTTCAATACTAACAAATTAATAAATTGGAATTCCAACATATTCAAAAAAGTAATTAACAATACAATAATAAATCAAATACAACGAATTAAAATTATCTGCACAGATACAATAGATTTACAACGCGAAATTTTGCTCCTTATTAAAATTCTAAAAAATAATCTAATACCCATTCAATTTATTAACCATTGCCTTAAAAAAGCAGGCGTTAAATACTCACTCTAAATCAATTAACTGATAGGGATATGATAATTTGTTCCTAAACCTGAGAAGGCGGTATAAGTTGGATGACTATCAGTTGAAGGATTTGTATATAGTGTAATTACTCAGTTGTATATATTGTAAGAAGCTAATTGTCTTCAGACTTATTCTGTTACTAAAAAAATGGGCCTATTTCATAATCTTTAGTCTGTCAAATAGCTCTTTGACAGTGAAAATTAATTTTTTCCTTTCTTAAATTCCTAATCGTTTCGACACGACAATTAGCCAGAAATTAATTAATTTCCATTCACTAGTATTTTCAAAAAAATTTTTAACAGAGGGTTTCACTCAAATAAGAATTCCACAGAATACATCCCTCAAGAATTCCAAGTCCCACCCACTACCATAAATTACGTCACCCAAGTCTTACCAACGATATTATTCCCCCGCTGGCTCTAAGACACACTACACTTCTGAGTCAGACGCGAAGAGAACACTTTGCCGACTCCCCACTATAAAGAACGTAAGTTAATTAATACTTTTTCTGGCCTTTATATCTTCATGTACATTCACTTTTCTAATTATATTTTTTATTTTTATATTATTTTTTATTTGTTTTTACAAAGTTTGCATTATTTATCTTATATTTTGTAATCTTCTAATGTTTATTTCAACTTTATACTTTGAATTCTATTTCATAATGACAATTTCCAATGTTTAATTTTTACAAATAATATTGAACTCAAATGCATAAACACGAGGGTGTCGGGGGACGGTTACTCGAGTTTTTTCGAAATTCACTGCAGAAATTGCTTTTCACTCAAAATTGAATTAGATAAAATGCTTCATAGGAATAAGTTCTTTGAATATCAGCATTGGCTCATAATCCCTTCTATTTACGGAAATATTTGGCCTGACTTGAATTGCCGGTTTGGCTTAGCCTTATAGCTCGAGTAAAGACGAAACACCTTCGTATTTATTTATTAATTATTGTTCATTGAACGGGAGTTGGTTTGTTCTCCTTGAAAAGTCAACTAATTTCCGATCAATGACAATGATTACATGCATTTAATTTAATTCTTGCCTTTAATTTATTCCTTTTACAATTGAAATTTTGTTCTTCATAATGATTTAATTCCATTCCCCGTTAAAACATTATTAACATTTTACTTTCAAGTTACTTCAAAATATCTTTCAAAATCTAACTTACTAGTATGGATTCACTCTTTTAAGATCATTCTACTTTAATTAAACTTAGGAGATAATATCATCAATTAATCAATATTATTTAGTAAATAAATTATTATTAACTTACTTTGCAGCAATTACGCAAGTAACTTGTTTTCGCACTAAATGAATTTAAGATCATACAACATTTGATATATATATATATATATATATTGTAACTCCGAAAATGAACTTTCAAAAAGTACCATCCTAATTCGTAAGTAACTTAGCACGCTCTACTACCATAAAGGAAATAATAGTAAATAATACAAATTCAGATGGTGAAGGAAGATTAAGGGTAAAAAATAAACACAATATTTATTTGGTACTACTCATCTCATTATTCCAAACAGAAGCCAACCTATAATCTTGCCTTTAAGCAAATAATAATTGACCGAATTGGTGAAATACTTGGAGTCAAGTCTCGTTAGGTGACACTGCTATCAGACATAACAAAAGCTTACCTGAAAGCTGCCAAAGCAACTGCCTCCCGGTAATGTGACGTAGCATACATAAGGTGGATTTGTTGATGGCATAGATTCGTATATCACCAAGGCTCCGTTCTTTAAGTCGGCCCCCCTCGCCAGCTTCATCTGCCAAAACTCTTGCAATGCTTCCACCACATTCACTGAAATAAAAAAGCACATTATTAAAATACATTACAACTATAATTTAAAGAAAAAAAAAGACACCAGTCATAACATAGTCTGTAATTTAAAAATAATAATAACAATCAAAAATAAATAAATAAATTAGGTCATTTCATCTTTTAAATTAGCTATGTTTCTTTGTCTCCTCCCCCCGTTTTCTTTTTAGCTTAAAAGGGGCTATTAGTCTCGAAGTAGGATTTCGCGTTTGTTCACTATAAAGGGCGTATCACTTTTCTAATTGTTTCCACCAAATATTATCTCCCTGTCTTATTTTTAAAGACATTACACAATGAAGAATCCACCATCCAATTTGACGGTCAATCCATCAACAGTCATCAATTCATTGACGGTCTAGAGCCATTCACTAGCATATAACATGCATTAAAATAATTGTGTCACGGAATCAGCACGAATTCATGAATATTACTAACATGAATAAGGGCATTATAGAATATAATAAGGAATACTAAAATTAATAAGTACAATATGCACAATGAATAAGGACTCTATACATTTCCTCACATACACACATTATTGCCACAACACTTTATATAAAAATTAAACATGCTAAAACAATAAAATGGGAAAAAAAAAAAAAAAAAGAGGGAGTTTGAGTGTTTCAGTTTTCCAAAAAATCCTGTGATCCGAGTACAAAAAAAACTATAAATATATAATATGAATCAAAGCTAACATAAAGCCTTGCATGAATATTAAAGAAAACTGTATCTAAATGTGAAAAATGATTTACTCCATACAGTTATAAATTTATATGCAAGATTATGTCCCTTTTATTACATGTATATGCAATAATGAACATTGTAGAGTTTTTCTTGTCGGAAAAAAAGGTACAGAAGCTTTTTTTTTTTTTTTCCCTGTGAAGTGCAAGGCGAAGAAAATGTTTTGCCATGCAACTGATTTGGTGAGGTAAAGGAATCATTTAAACAAATAGTATATTTGTTGTTCAAAATAGTGTAATTGGATAAAGTAGAATTTTACATTTACTTAACAGTACTTTTCGTAGTGATTGAGATAATTGAGCATATCTTTGTTTATTATTATGAATTGAGAAATTGAAAATACAGTTAATTACAGATAACATAACGATAAAATTTATAAATTTACTATAAACAAAAGGTATTTTTGTTCAGTTTAAAATGTAAACTATAAAAATCAGCATGTTTTCTTTAAAAATATACTTTTTCAAATTATCTTAGATGCTTTTAATTTAGTGCATAGAAGCATTAATTAGTTTTATCTTACTGAAAAAGGATTCTTTCTGATCACTTAAATTAAATAAATTAAATTAATTAAAAAATAATCATGCAGGAAATGAACTGAGAGATAAATTTTTAACTATGATTGACATTCCAAATCCTATACTTAGTAATAAGTGATACATAAAATATACTAAGTGATACATTAAAAAACAATGACATTTTCTTATTTCAAACAACTGGCCATTTAAATACAAAAAATTGTACTTGGAATGTTTTATTCATTAAAAATAAAAGTCAGGGTTAAATAAGCGCAGTTTTTGTCCTTGAAAACTGTCTACTGCAAGGGCAGTTTAAGACCAGCCTAATGAAGCTTTCATTTTATTAATTTTTATTTGAATTGAAAATTTTCAGCAACAAATAGTCGCTTCAAATTTACTAGTTAAAAAATTGCGAGGGCAAATAAAATCTCAGAGAAATATCATTGTAATTTTGCTTTAGATTTCTGGCATTCATAAATTAAGATATCTGAAAATTAAGAAACACCGAGAAAAAGCATGACTTTATAAAATAAAATACATTTACCAGTACTTTTGTTCTAAATGCTAAAATGATCCAAGCCGCATTTCCTAATAGATAGGCCCACCAATGGCCGAGCGGTAAAATCGCTGAACACTGGTAGTTCCGACCTGGGTTAAAATCCAGGTGAAGGGGCTGGCTGCATCGGCGTTTTCGCGGTTTTCCTAATATGTAACGTGAATACAAGCAAGTTTAACTTAGAAAGTCCTCCACGATGGCATTCCTCCTCTTACGCATATAGTCCTAGTGTGCTTTTCCATTATAAAACAACCAAACGAACCCTAAGTGGTAATTACACAACAGTTTAGCAGCAGCCATGATAAAATATCTACCTATCAACATGTAGAATAACCTTTTCACTCTAAACTGATTACTGATCACTTCCACTTGCTACGAAATGATTAACTATGTCTTAAGAAAGAACAAGAAATAATTCAACTTTTTTCATATAAAAAAATCAAAATATTAAATATTAGTAAAGGGCGTAAATAGACCTATATGTGAAAGCTCAGTTAACCCTCTCTAAGGCGACCATTTACGGTTCGAAGTGATTTTTTATTCTATGAAGCTGGTCGTCTAGGAAAGATGAGATTAAATGCTTTCAAAATAATTCCGGTCACTTATGGAGGTGAAGAAAATGGTTCTCAGTATGTTATAAAAGTTCAATCAATTACTAAAAAAAATGTAGAGTAAAATATATCCTCAAAATTAAATAAAGCCTTTTAAAGTGCTTATAAGAAATCTCGGTACTATTCCGTTTTGAGGACCGTAAAAAAATTGCATGCGCAAAAGCGCCAAATCTAGCAAACGCGCCCATTTAACAGCGCGCCAAATCTAGCGTACGCACTGATTTCAGATTGCTTAAGTTTATATAGTTCTATATTTCTTAAGGCGACATTGGAATACCAGTTTAACTTTTAAATCCTTTTTTGATATCCTACGGATTTAACAATTTGGGAATTGCCCATGACGAAAAGTCTGCAATAGAATTTTGGGTAAAGTGCAGAATCACCCACTGCTTGACGCATTTTTAAGAATTGCACATACTCGGTATCCATGTACACATCGACCTATTTTCACTTAAAAAAAAAAAAAAAAAAAAAAAAAAAAAATCCCAGAATTGCACAAAAATGGCACTGCGTACACCCTTGACTTTATCTATGTACACATCGACCTATTTTCACTTAAAAAGTAAAAGAAAATTGACAAAAATCCAATTGTTTTTATCCTTGCAAAAAGCGTAGCAACACTGTATTGTACAACACTGTGTCCTTGTAGCAACACTGTACGGAATAAAACATTTTTATCTCCAGCGCGCGAGACTGTCTGTCGGAAATTATAATGATATGCCATTTTTAAATATTGTGATTTTGCTGTTGAACTGAATTTTATGTTGTGTATGTGCGAAGAACGCGAATTTAATAAATAATGTTAACACATAAACCGTTAATAATAATAATAATAAAAGGCATCTTACGGACCAAACTGAATATTGATGTAATGAATTGAGAAGACTGTGGGGAAAAATAGAAAAATGCGTGCCAACATTTAACACTGCATCCGTAATTCTAAACATATACTGATTTTAATTTTGTGATTTTGGTGTTGAATGATATATAGGGTTAAGTGCGAAGGAAATAGGGCTTAATAATAGAGCTTAGCACGGGTGAGTGTAGCAACAGACTGGTAGACTACGAGCTCAGCGACAACGTGAAAAACCTGTAACAAACCCTTTTGGGCGGTCGTTAAAATTTGAATTCTTTCAGATTTTTTTAAATTTATTTATTTAGCCATGTCTTTCCAGTATTTTTAGAAATATCTGCACAATTTTCACGAATTGCTCCACATCAAAATAAGAGTGTCGTCAACGTGCTGAAGACAAGGAGCGTTACATTAAATAATGATTCTAAACAAATAAAGAAGCTCTTTATAATATTTGCAACCAAACACAATTTTAAGGACATGAAATAGAACTCGATAAATTTTCTTAATCATTAAACGACATAAGCATATTGCAAAGTCATCATTCACCGTTGGTCTATCTGTTATTGGACTTGCTCTGCAGGAATTCTTTCACGATGAAGAGCGGAAGAAACACACATCTTTCTCATGCTGAAAATGTTATAAATAACTAATCCAGCATTTCATAGAATGCAACAAAGTAGTTCAAGTTCTAGATAGGAGACGACAAATGCGGAAATCGGTAGCAAAACGAGCGCTTGATTGCCACAACTGACATTGGAATCATCATATTCACATTTGCATATGAAATAAAAAGACGCAGACTAAAACCCGTAGTTGTGTGCATCAATCAACACTTAGTGACATCAATGATAGACAACCGTTATTCTTACCACTGTCAATGCCTGACGGAACAGTTATCATCACAAAACGCAGCTTGAGCTAATGACATGTCGTTCACACTTATCTAAACCAACTTACATGCATATGGATTCCTATGGTGGACCGTTCTTCAAAAAAAAAAAAAACTAAAATAATACCGCACATTATAGCCTCATACGGATAAATATATCTTTTTACACATTTTAAGCCAATAAATGCGATTACATATTAAAGATAAATAAATAAATAAAAACAAGACTTGCTATTTACAACATATGTTTATTTACATGATTATCCACATAAACTGTTTTTCGGTTAAATTACACACACTGGTATTATTATGACGTGAAATACCAGCATGCTGCTTCGTATTTGCAAGGTATATGTATCTGATGGATTCAATACATTTTAGATAGAAAGAAACACGGAATTAATAATTAAATCTGTAATGTTTCTAATTACTTTGTGTGTGCTTAGTTTAGTAGAAACCTTGCTGAAGTGAGTCAAAGTGTGCAAATGAAAACTTCAGAGAAAGGTTAAATTCACCCTTTTATTATCTCAAACTAAGAACACAGATGGTCCCTTCCTCGGGCTTACGAGAAGCCTCTACTTGGGCTTTAACTCAAGAAAATAAGAAACGAATCTAATGCTTAACTAAACTGAACTTAACCGAAGCTGTACGTAGTTGGCCATTAATTAAATTGACCAGCGAGTATCAGCAGGCAGGTACAATACGGCCGAGCTTAATCAGCTTTAAACAATGAAGTAGCCCAACGGTAAACACGCGCCACTAAGGACTCCTAAGCATTTCTGCTGAAGTAAGCGAAACTACTTCAGC